GAGGTGTGGCCATGCCAGAGGAGGTGTGGCCATGCCAGAGGAGGTGTGGCCATGCCAGAGGAGGTGTGTCACTAGGGTTGATTTTGAGGTTTCAAAAGCCTACACTAGGTCCAGTGTACTCGTCTGTCTGTCTGTCTACAACTTGCAGATTACATGTGAGTTCTGAGCGACTGCTCCAGTAGCATGCTTGCCTTCCTGCTGCTTTGCTTCTCTTCATAGCAACAGAACAGTAACCAAGACACACACCCAGAAAGGGTGAACAGAACGGTGCCCAGGCACAGCCTTTTGGATCCTCACCAGGGACCACAGTACAGAAGGCTCATATGGGGAAGCAGCACCCGAGAGGGGTTACAGTCATACCCCAGAGGCCAGAAGAGGGGTTACAGTCACCCCCCAGAGGGCAGAGCCCTCTCGGCCTGGCACCTTTGTCTAGCAGGACAAAATCATCCCTGGTGTGTAGGGAGAAGCCTGCTCCTGCTTCCAGCCTGGCTAGGAAGCTTCCGAAGTCATTCACACCTCAGCCTGTGCCTCAGTAGACATCCTTGTAAGACTCTAAGGATGGTACCCAGCAGCCATAGAGGGAGGACTGCCGTCCTACTCAGGCCCGCTCTGATGGTTCGTGCAGTATTTGAAAAGTAACTAGACAACATCTACAATCTCATCCCATTGGGTACCACATTTCCAGTGGAGGAAGGACCAATAAAAACTGCACTGAGAAATTCAGTTCAACACTGCACAGCGCCAGTCAGAAAATACAGTTTCTCCATGCCGTCCCCATCAGTGCTCAAATCCAATAAAGACACTTTATGTCCAGGAGGTTTCTTTTTTTGTAGCCCAGGCTACCTTAAACTCATTATGCTCTACTTCCCAAATGCTGGGATCACAGGTGTATGTCTCAGTGCTAGGGGTAGGCTTACACTTTTGTTTTTCTTTTGTGGGTGAAGGGGTAAGACTGGTCCTGCTACACACCGAAGCTTGGCTAGGAATTTTCAATCCTATCCCAGCATCTCTAGCACTGAGATTACAGGAACATGCCACCACATCCAACTCATGAAGCCACCTAGTTGGTGAACTAGTACCTAGTTGGTGAACTAGTACCTAGTTGGTGAACTGGTTAGGAAAGAATAAGAGGTGTGGCCATGGGAAGGTCACCGCTGTGGACTCACTCTTCCTAAGGGGGCACCACAGCTAACCAATGCATCAGGGGCTCCCAAGTCCACACTGGGGGTTTACAGAAACAATCCTGATATGATGCTCACAGGAAGGCCATTCCGGAGTCTATTCCAAAGATTACAAGAAGTTTGAGCACACCAAAACGTACCTGAGAAAAGCAGCCACAGCCTTCCACGTAAAGACTCGGGGATCCCCATGGCCACCAGCTTCCGGATCTTTTCAGTGCGGAACATGCACACGGTCCTGCCGTACTCTACAAAGTGGTCGTTCCACAGACTGATTTTTATCTGCTCCCGGGACTGGAAATGGAGATGTTTGTTAAGGTGACAAGAAGCCCATCCACAATCAGTAATGGTACAAAGAATGTCTCTGTTTATGTTTATCGGGGACCAACAGGAAGAGCAGTGATAACAGCGTTCACACACAAAACGCATGTGAGCCGCTGCCAGGCATAAAGGATCCAGGACAAATAACACAGAGCCCCAAGGAGCCTAGTGGAGGCATCTGTGGGAACACAGTACACGGTTCATAACAGGAGCATGTTCACCAAGCACAGAAGCAGTTCAGATTGGATGGGAGGGACAGGTGCAATGGAGAATTTGGGGGTAATGCATCTTTGGGGCACTGACACAAAGTCAACTGCTAAAACACCACTGGACTCCAAGGACAGCAGAGTGTTAAAAAGGCACCCAGCATGCCCTGAGCTTCCTAACAGAAACGGGGAAACTGAAACCTGGGGAAAAAAAAGTATTTTCAACTTTTTAAAAAGTATTTTCTACAAGTGTTTTTGCCTACGTGCACCATGTGCACGCCTGGTGCCCACAGAGGTCAGAAGGGGACACCTGGTGCCCACAGAGGTCAGAAGGGGACGCCTGGTGCCCACAGAGGTCAGAAGGGAACACCTGGTGCCCACAGAGGTCAGAAAGGGACGCCTGGTGCCCACAGAGGTCAGAAGGGGACACCTGGTGCCCGCAGAGGTCAGAAGGAGACGCCTGGTGCCCACAGAGGTCAGAAGGGGTGTGGGTCCCCGAACTGGACTGAGGGAAACTTGTGGACCACCATGGGGTCTCTGCAAAAGAAACAACAAGTGCTTTGACTGAGCCATCGCTCCAAAGCACATTCTCATCATCAGAAATGAGGGGGACATTTATTTCTCTAAAAGTCCATTCAAACTCTCCATATGTCAGGAATAGTTCGGGCCTTTGATAAGATATTAAGAATTATTTGTAATAATTACTGTCCAATAATGTGAGTAACATATCCATAAACCTAGCATTTTTGGTCATTCAGACACGGAATGGCCGAACACAGTATGTAAAGCAATTAGCTTGGTTTGGATTTTAAAGGCCGGTAGCTAGGAAGCAGCATGCTTGTTACTAGGGCTGGGGGCCACCACCTGGGCCTGTGGCTGCAGTGTGGCTTCCTGCCTGCCAGCCAGGGTCCCATTCTAGTCTGTTCGTAAACTATACATGAGCCCTACCTCCCTATTAAAAAAGAACAATTGTAAATTAAGCAACAGGGCCTGGGGAAATGGGTGTGTGGGTAAGGAGGGCTTGTGGTGCAAGCATGAAGACTTGAGTTTGAATCTCCAGCACCCAGGTAAAAACCCAGTCAATTCAGTGTTGGGGTCCAGGGACAGGGATGGGGGGCAGAGACAGGTGGATCCCAGGATTCTGCCAGTCTGGCCAAAATGCAAACTTCAGGTTCAGTGAGGAGCAAACCATGTGAAAGGCACGCACAGAAGGCCTGGCTAGTAATAGACTCATTGCACACCAGAAACCTATAGGGGCAGCACTGTCCGCTGGGCAGGCCGCACTCTGAGAAGAGCTGGCTCCCTACCACCCTTCACTTGGTGCCTAGGACAAAAAAGAGGGAAGAGAAGCAATGGATGCTCAGAGCACTCTAGCCACCTAGGCCATACCACTCCTCAGAGCTACTGCTCACGGGGGCATCTCACTCACCAAGTGGGAGTCGGGACTCTGGCTGCCAGACTGCTGGAAGACAGCAGTCAGGGGCTCGGGGTGTGGCAGGGGGCTCTTCTCCTCTCTCTCCTTGCTACTTTGAGAAGACACCATCTCAAGATCCCCAAACTTATCGGTGCAGATGCTTGTTGAGTAAAACACAGGTGAAGCCTTTAAATTAAAAAGAGGAGGCACAGACAGCACTGTATGTCAGTTAAAAGTCAAAATGTGGGGTCCCAACCAAGCATGCGACCAGAGTCTGAATATCTAGAACCTGAGTTTATTGTCAGGTACGTGTGACAGAGATGGGGTCCCAGGGCAAGAGGCAAGCTGGCTAGGGAGAGTAGCCATATCAACACACTCTGAGTTTGACTGAGAGAACCTGCCTCAGTAATCAGGAGGATTCCTACAATTTACCACGTACATACTATGTACATATATATGCCCACATATATGTATACATATGCTCATAAAACACACATGGAAATTTAAAGATTAAAAGAAGCTTCCTAATGGAAGTCATAGCTAATGATGTCCCAGCAAACCCAAGTACATTCTTGTACCTCTCCAGTCTTAGGATGAGAAACTCTCTCTCTTAACAGTTTACTGCCACCCTGAGCATCAGCCCAAGCAACCTCGAAAAGGAGATACCCACTTCTAGTGCCCCATGGGGGGGGAGGGGTCCCATCACTCCTCTAACCTTGAGGAGGGTGCCACAACTTCTCCAACCCAGGCAGTATGTGGAGGCACCTGGTCAACCCTCCAAAGTGCAGCTGATCCCCCATGGGCCCTTCTGCTCCAGGCAGCCAACTCAGAACACCAGAGCCATCAGAAGTGACATCACACTAATGCACAGCCCAGCCATCTCCAGCATGTTTTCCTTGTACCCACACAGCCTGTCTTTTCAAGCACTCCCTTTGGAGACCATGGCTGTCCCTGGAGGTTACAGGAAGAGTCACGGAAGGCCATCCCTGTAAAAGCTCCTACCATGTCATCATCACTTGGTGAGGTCTCATAATGCACAGGGTGGTTGGCGTGGACCTGTTTCAGTCTCAACAGCAGGCCCTCCACCAAGTTCTCTCTGTCCTTGAGCTCAATGAACTGGAAAGCCATCTTGCTGCGGATGCTCACGATGATGGGGTTGGGCAGCAGGCTCGTGTCTTCCATCTTTTCAATGCTTACTACCTGGAACAGAGATGACACACAGAGTACAAGACAGGAGCCTTGCAGGTGCGTGATCATGCCCTCAGACACATCCAGGAAGAGCTCCTTGCAAAGGCAGGAAAGTGGGCTGGGCAGTGTTACCTGTCAGTGCCACAAGGGGGCAGCAGCCCAAGGCTCTGTTCACAGGTTGAGTGGCTAAGCAAACAGATTACAAAGTAGCAATCAGTCTCCAAAAAAGAAACTCCAGCCCACACTGTACCACAGATGAAACCTGAGGGTGCTGTGCTACCTGGAATAAGCCACTCATAAAAAAGACAAATACCGGGGCTGGAAAGCTGGCTCAGCAGCCAGGAGCACATACTGCTTTTGCCGAGAACCCTGGTTCAGTTCCCAATGCCTACACCAGGTGGTTCACAACTGCCTGTAACTTCAGCTCCCGGGCCACCAATGCTGGCTCCTGGCCTCCAGAGGCAACTACACTCACATGTATATGCATGTACACACACACTTAAAAACAAAACACAAAGAATGCTGTATGATTCCATTTTTACTCCAGCTACCTTGAGTAGTCAAATTCATAAGGGGAGGGGCTTTAATCTCTAAGTGGGACAGAGTCTCAAGTTGGGAAGATGGACGTCCTGTAGGTGATAGTGGGAATATAACAGTGTGAACATGCTTGGTGCCACTGAAATGCACACCTAACAGTGGTTAGGAAGATAAATTATGTTATGCGTGTTCTGGATTTCTCTTATTCTTCTTTTGGAAGACAGGGTTTTGCTATGTAGCTCTGGCTGGTCTGGAACTCACTGTGTAGACCAGGCTGCCCTTGAATTCCTAGAAATCTGCCTGCCCCTGCCTCCAAGAGCTGGGACCACAGCTGACTTGGCTTTCTTCATTGACTGTTTATAAACTGAGCATGTCAATTGCAGAATAACAACACGGAGATCAGAGATCACTGGAGTGAGGGAACTGTGCCTTCTAAGTAACCATGCTCACATAGGCACACAAGCAGCCAGACTCCAGCAGACCCCATGTGTCAGGGTCTCGGTGCTAAGGGCCTGAAACCAAAGGACTGAGCTGTCCACATCCAGACAGAAGCTTACATTGTCCCTGACCTCCAGAATTATGAATTTTTACAGTAAGAAGGGACCCGACTCATACTTGACTTTAATTTTTTTTAAAAGATATATTTATTTTATGTATATGACTATACTCTCACTGTCTTCAGAAACACAAGAGGGCATGAGATCTCATTTCAGATGGTTGTGAGCCACCATGTGGTTGCTGGGAGTTGAACTCAGGATTTCTAGAAGAGCAGACAGTGCTCTTAACCACTGAGCCATCTCTCCAGCCCTTAACTTTAAATGTTTAAGTTGAAGCTCTAGGAGTGTATGTAAACCAAGGAATTTGACATTTGGTTTCTGCAGGTGACACTTTTTACAGGCCGCTTCTCTCTTGGGGAAATGAAAGGGGAAGAGCTCACTCCGAGAGCTCTAATTCCCTGAGCATTCTTTAACGACAACAGCTTCACCAGTGAAGAGGAGGTTGGACTGCTCTCTTTACCCAGCCCTTCTAGGCAAATTCTGAGACCACTAAAGCACCACAAGAAGAGCCACAGCCACCCCAGGAATGAGCAACTCAGGTCCTGCTTGCTCTTCAGAAAGCCAGAGGGCCATCTTTAGGATAAAGCCCTGGCATGTGGACACCCTTCCTTTGCCCTGTCACAGCAGCAGAGAGGCTGTAGTTTAAGATATGATTTCCACGTGACCCCAGAGGCTCACTAGTGAGATGTGTGGTCCCTGTGATGCTATAGTAAACGGAGGTGGGGCCTAGTTGGTGTATTTGGGCCGTGGGGACATTTCCCTCAGAAAGAACTAACCCAGTTCTCAGGAGACCTCAGTTGGTTGTCAGAAATTAGGTCACTGCGAACAACAGGACTGGCCTTTGCTCTCTGTTTTACCATGCGATATCTCCAGCCACTGCATCACCAGTTTTGATAAGGCCTTGACCAGATCCAAGCCCAATCAAAACATAATACCATTCTCTTGTGAGCTAAACCTCGTCTCTTTTTACCTGGCCTTGGGTGTTTTGCTTGAGCAACATAAAACAGACTCATACACTTGCGTCCAAATGGCAAAGGGTACTTTTCAGGAGCACAAAGCAGGCAGCATGGCTGACATGTTAGCTCTACCTCTCTCAGTGGAAGTACAACATTACAGCAGCCGTCCTCTCTGCTGGCAAAGCAGATGTAGCTGTCAGAGGAGAATATTCGGCCGGCTGTGTGGCAGCGACTGAAGGGTGTCCAGAGGGAGCAGTCTGCCACAGCGTGCAGCTTCTCCTTCCTTGGCAGCCTGAAGAAAGCCCGGAAGAACTCATTCTGTGCTCTGGCCTCCAGATCCCTGGGGAGTGAAGGAGAGAGGGGGGGAGAGGGAGGGAGGGAGGGAGGGAGGGAGAGAAAGAGAGAGAGAGAGAGAGAGAGAGAGAGAGAGAGAGAGAGAGAGAGAGAATGAGAATGGAAATACAAGCTTAGAAACTACCTCGACACCCACTGGCCCAGCCAGCCAGCAAGGACACGCAACCAGGCTGTATTTCCCAGAGACTGGATCAGCCTCCGGGGCTCCAAGTTCACAGCCAACCCTTGGAGCAGGCACAGCATACTGAGTCTGCACAGAAATAATCACACAAGCTCATGAATCAGGATGTACATTCCTGGGGGACTGGACAGAAGGCCCAGAGGTTAAAAGAACAGGCTGCTATTCCAGAGCACCCAGGTTCCATTCCTAGCACCCCCATGGAGTCTCACACTCGTCTATAATTCTAGTTCCAGGGATGATCTACTGCCCTCTTGTGGCCTCTACAAGCACAAAGCACATCCATGGGGCACAGTGCACACACAGGCAAAGCACCCATACACATACATCTTTAAGAAATGAGCATGCCTGGCTGGTTCGGTTTGACCACAAAAATGGCTCAAAAATGTAAATATCAAAAAGTTAAGTTACTCTTAAGTGTGGTGGTTTGAGTAGGAATGGCCCCAATAGACTCATATGTTTGAATACTTGGCCCATAGGAAGTGGCACTATTAGGAGGTGTGGCCTTACTAGAGAGTGTCACTGTGAGGGTGGGTTTTAAGGTCTCAGAATCTCAAGCTATGCCCAGTGTGGACACGGTCTCCTTCTGCTCCCTGAGCATCAATATAAAGAACTCTCAGCTCCTTCTCCAACACTGTGTCTGCCCCATGATGCCATGCTTCCTGCCAGTGATGATAATGAACTAAACTTCTAAAGCCGTAAACCGGCCCCGATGAAATGTCTTCCTTTATAAGAGTTGCTGCAGTCATGGTGTCTGTTCACAGCAGTAAAACCCTAAGACTGAGTATTGCCCAGGATACGGAGAATTGGAGCCTTCACACAGTTCTGGCGGGCATGTAAAATGATGTGCTTTGTGTAGGAAACCAGTCTCACTGCTTAAGGGAAACTCACCATTTACCCAGAAATTCTACTCCTGGGGATCCACAAACAAGAGACATGTAGGCCTGCTAACAAATCACATGCTAATGTTAATGCTAGCGATAGCAAAAGGTGGTCTGGATAGCTATCTATGATGAACAGCTAAGTAAAATGTGGCATGTCCCTTTAATTGGATGGAAACTACTCAGCCACAAGACAGGAGGAAGGTACTGATACACACGGCAATGTGGACGAAGCTTAAATAGGCTGAGTACAGGCCCAGACACAGAGACTGCAGCCTGAGTCTGGCCACATGCAGCTGACAAATACCTGACATTATCCCAGACAGCTAAGATGTCAACAGGGCCCTGTGTAGTAAGAAGCCAGCTCCGTGTGAGGACTGTCATCAGCCTGTCCTCTCAGGCAGGGTGTGTTTGGCCACTTCCTTCTCAGATGAAAGGTTCAGGGTAACCCCCAAACTCAAGGGACTCAAGCGGCACTGAGGAGGACCGTCTTTTTTTGGTGATATTTAGTAAAGAAGCCTTGATGCCATAGATGGACAGACAGAGGGCAGTGTGGTGGGGACTTTGAGGACAGTGCAGGCCAACACGGCCGAGTAAGGGGCCCTTCTTTCTTTAGAGGAGGGGAGGAGGTGCTATTCCACATGACCATAGCACCACCTAGCATTTAGGCCATCTCCGATTCCTGGCTGGCATCAGGGAAGGAGGGGGCCTGCTAGCCTGAAGCTCATATGCACACCAGCTGAGAGGGTAAGAAGAACTAAAATCTGGACCTTAACGGCAGGGCCACCATGGGGCCTCCCAGTCCTCCCTTCTACAGAAAGGCCAGCACACAGCAGTCACGAGCTATTACTTGGGATACAACAGCCAGCTCAGGCCAGCAGCCTCCGAAGAAGCACCTGTGAGGGGAGACACTGCCCCAGTAGCAGTAGACTCAAACCAGAAGGTTCTAGATCTACACTCCAGGCATGCCTTTATTAGACTTAGCTTCCATTCCTAAGACTTCAGGAACTTAGAAACTTAAGCAATCCCAAAAACTTAGAGGCAAAGAATTTATTGTTTTCCCCACAAATCCAGAATTTATTTAGTCCAGACTAGATGCCTCTCCTAGATGAGACAAATGTGCCCTCTCTCCTTCCAGCAACCCTGTAGAGTGCTTTACGGAAGAACTGCATCGGGGTTGACAGGCCAACTCTCACCCCATCTGCTTATTCAGGCCACACAGGATGCAGCTGTGTCTCAGCAGCTGCCACAAGCTCTGGATGAGTGACAGGCTGGGCCAGCCTGGTTTCTTCATTAGCTCAGCATTCAAGATCTCTAGCCATATCCAACACAGAACACCTGACCAATCATGGCTTGTAATATGGGTTCAGAAAGGCCAAAGTGGGTCCTATGCTGTCAGCCTGCCTCAACGGGGCACTGCTATGTGTCTGGGAAATGCAAAGATTAGCAACATAGGAACCAGGCTCCAAGGGCAGACGCTGCTTTTCCTTGGTGTCCCAGTCCACATGGAAGAGTTTCTTCTCAAATGTGTTCACTCAGAACATAACCAGAATTGTCAAGGCCAGAGTTTGGGCACCTGTGGACCAAAAGGCTAAGTTCATCCTCCCACCCTGACAGGCCAATTACAGATACAAGCTGCGGTGGTTTGAATAGGAGCAGTCCTCGTGGAAACAGTCAAGCCAATTCACTTATGCTGCCCATGTGCCGCCATGCTTCTCCACCATGATGATAATGGACTGTGCCTTTGAGCTGTAAGCCAGCCCCAATGAAATGTTCTGCTTTATAAGAGTTGCCGTGGTCATGGTGTCTGTTCACAGCAATGAAACCCTAACTAAGACACAAGGGATGACGAAAAGCAGATTAGTCAACACATCCACACTGCAAACAGGAACAGATAAAGGGGTCTAGTGACCCCTGAGTTCATCAGAGGGAAGCCTGGGACAGGCAGGAGTAGCCTCATCTATCCTCCCCCAGTTCTCCTCCTGCAGATCGCTTGGAAGAAGTCTTTGAAGCTGGAGGGGATGAGGGTATTTCCAGCCAGCGACTACTTCTACTCCAAGGCATAGCCTCAGTCTCAGGTGTAATGGCGCTCCCTGTGGGTGGGGCACTCTGTCTTGTTAGGGGCTGTTCCTGAATGCCAAGGTTAGGACCACCACCTAAATCCCTGCACCTTCAAGCCGAGTGTAGACAAAAGAGAAGGCACGGGTCAGGCTCTCCTCCTGCGTCTAGTCAGCACGCTTCAGCAAAAGTGGCTTCTGAGGAAACCATCCACAATGGTTTCTCAAGAGAGCAGGGCCTGGCCATGCTGCCCAGGAGAATCCCCTTGGAGCAGTCAGAGTTTGTGGAGATGGGAAGGTGAGGGGTGGCGGTTCTTCCCATGAAAGATGCTTCTTTTGTGACAGCTAACATTATGGTTTAAGTTTAAATCACTATGCTCAAGAGATCTATGAAACAGATATGTCACTAACACAAATGGTTCCCAACCTGTGGGTTGTGATCTCCTGTGGGGGTTGTTGAATGACTTTATAACAGAGGTTGGCTAAGATCATCAGGAAGACACAGATATTTACATTATGATTTATAACAGTAGCAAAATTATAGTTATAGGGGCTGGAGAGATGGCTCAGCGGTTAAGAGCACTGACTGCTCTTCCACAGGTCCCGAGTTCAATTCCCAGCAACCACATGGTGGCTCATGACCATCTCTAATGGGATCTGATGCCCTCTTCTGGTGTGTCTGAAGACAGCAACTGTGTACTCATACATAAAATAAATAAATAATTCTTTAAAAAATTATAGTTATGAAGTAGCAATGAAAATAATTTTATGGTTGGGGTCACCACAGCATGAAGGGTCGCATCGCACAGCATTACGAAAGTTGAGAACCTCTGCTCTAACCTATGACTCCCGATTGCTCAAGGACAGACAGCTCCCTGGAATGCTGAGGGCTGTTCATGTGAGATAAGCCACACATTTTCACATCCATAAGTAAACAAGCATGGTTGCACCAGTGTGGATGCTTGTTTGATCATACACAGGTGTGTAAGCGCATGGGGTGTGTGCTTGCCCCTGATTGGATGCAGGTGGGAAGTACTTAGCTCTGTGGGTTTGCCTTTGTATAAGCTCCTAACACTAGTGTAAACTGGGTACATACAATAGGAATCTCGGGAAGAGACCTGGCCAGTTATTTAATAAAGCTTGCTTCAAATTTGGCTCAAGATTTGTGGTACTGGACTTTCCCTGCAATCTTCCTGTTCTCAGCATAGGGCTTGCTCTGATCCGACCATCGGAAGTGGGCGCTCTGATGGGGTCAAGGGAAGAGAGCAAGAAAGAGGACTGAATCTGTGGGATGAGGCCAAAGAGTTTTGTAGAGACAGAACGGCAGAGGCAGGGGGCTGGCTGCTGAGGACACACAGCCTAGCAACTACTGGGAGAAAAGTAATTCTGACTCCCAACCTAACTGCATCCCAGCAATCAACCTGCTGGAGACTGGAAGAGGCTCACTGCCTCTCCAAGCTCCCCTGTACTCGATCTTTACAAACTGGCTGGCTAGCTGACCACACCCTAACTTTAGGATAAACACTTTTTGTTTGGGAATTTCAAGATCAGCTTATTCCATTACCCCTACTGCCCAGGCAGCAGCATCCTCCCTCCCCAACATCAACCGACTGACCACTGCTACCAGGGCCCTACCTTCTAAGCTCTGCTGAGAATATAGGGTCTTCTTTGCACTAGGCAGGTTGGGCCATCCCCTCCCCCTTCTCAAGTACCTAGTGGAAGGACCATAACCCTGAGATGACTAACAGGTAAACAGATACTCAGTTACCTAGGCCTTTGACCCTAAGGGTCACCACTGGGAAGCACTCATTTGGGAAGGGAAGTGACAGTGGATCAAGGAGAGAGCTGGAAGGATGTGGGGAGGTATTCCAGCTTGTTTGGCTCTGACCTGGGAAAGCTGTTTTCCTAAACTTTAAAATCTGCCTCTAGGCAGGGTGCCAAGGGGCCTGAGTCATTACCTGTTTACACCCACAGGCCTGGTCTCCATGACAAAAGCTCCTGATGAGAACCAGCCCCAGCAGGCAGCTAGACCTTTCACTTTGAAAGAAAGTCCCTTAGCAGGTACTTGACAGGTGAGCATGCTGCTGGAGACCAGAACCTGTATGGGTCCTGGGTCTATCCCTAGGCACAGATGGTCCAGCCTCTGACACTCACCTGCTAGCCATCCCTACATTCCTGTCCTGCCTTTTCTTCCCTCTAGGGGTGCCCAGGTAGAACCGGGTTGGGTGAGCAGGAGGACTTGGAGACACTCTGAGTCCAGGACACGCATGCACCCTGTCAACGCTGACATTTCTAAAGTAGCTCTCTATCTTACGCAGTCCAGGGTCACAGCCAGATAAAGCACTGTCAGCCAGAGAAAGCGCTGTCCCGTGTCTCTCCACCCAACCTCTTGACAGTAACCCCCACAGACATGCTCAGAGGCTCATCTCCTTGGAGACTCTAGATTCTGTCCAGTTGGCAACACTAACGCACACCAGGAAGGCCAGCCAGCCATGTGCGCAGCTGCAAGCTGAACTCCTGTCCAATGGGCTGCACCTCATGCTTGCAGGTGCGTAGATCTGGACAGACAAGAACACGATTTTACCTGGTAGCTTGCAAGGACTATTTATTTAATGATCTACATGCCCAAATCACATTGTTTTCAGGGCTCTGTCAACATGGCTCTTCCTTTTTAAAGATTTATTTATTTTATGTATATTTATTTATTTATTTTATGTATGTACATTGTCACTGTCTTCAGACACACTAGAAGAGTGCATCAGATCCCACTGCAGATAGTTGTGAGCCACCCTGTGGTCACTGTGTGGTTGCTGGGAATTGAACTCAGGACCTCTGGAAGAGCAGATAGTGCTCTTAACCTCTGAGCCATCTCTCCACATCCTTGATATATTTAATAAGCTACGGGAAAGCATGGCTCGCACGGCTCCCAAGGTACCAGGTGCTTTCTTTTCAAGCTGAATCTCCTCAGGTGGCTGTAAAGACTGTAGGGGAGGAGTGGCAAGCAAACTTTTGGGGTTGGACATCAGAAAATGGAGGTACAGAGCTCTGAGGAGTTCATCATAAGAGAGAGGGGTACACCTGTCTCACAAGAAATCTCTCCCCACATCAGAGGTAACTCAAGTCATGTGACATACCTGGAATGTCACCCCTAAAGAACAGTTAGGTTTAGTGCCTCACTCCTAATAATGATCCATCTAAAACAAATGCACTCAGCAGGAAGTGATGGGAGTCTCCCTGAACACATCCCCACTTACGGCGCACCTCCCCAGGTGTTCGGAGAAGACAGTGCATGTGTGAGAAACAACCAATCTTCGATTTCTATAAAGACTTTCTATCACCAACCGCTAGCCTGTGGCGTTTTGAAGGAACTTAATACGGACTGAGTATTCACTATGCAAAATGACCGGGATAAAGTACTTCGAATGTTTGTGGTTTTTAAGGGATATTTGCATAGACAGTATAGGTTGAGTATCCCTAACCTGATGTTCCACCCTCCGCATGCTCTAATGATGGATTTCAGAGCGGTCACAGTTTTTTCAAGTCCTCTGTGTTCAGCCTTTATCATGAGAAAGCTGATAGCCATGCCAAGAAGGCTCTTGGTACCACAGTACCAAGCTCTCTCACAGGAAAAAGCATAGCTTCTATATCTTCAACTGGAAAAAAGATGGATAGGAATATTCAAACAGAGAACTAAAACAAACAAAAAAACCAAGAGGCAGAGACAGCTCAGTTGGTGGAGGCTGACCCAGGGTAAGCACCATCAGGTGAGGGGACGAGGGGACATGACTTAGTCCTGCAGTGAACTCTGAGAAGGACGGGGGAAAGTTAGGTCCTAAGGAGCTTGTTTTGAAAGCGTGGTGACCTGAAACAGATCCTCAAAACCCACATAAGCAGCTGGGCATAGTGATATGCCCTTGTCACCCACTGTTAGGCCCCTAAGGCTTCCCGGCAAGCCGGCCTAGCCCTCTTAAAGAGCTCCAGAGCAGTGAGAACCTGTCTCAGACACAAAGCTGGATGGTGTTCCTGAAGAAAAGCACACCTGAAGTTACACACACACACACACACACACACACACACACACACACATACGAGTGTGCATCACACAGCATGGCTGAACCTTGAAGACATTACGTGAGATGCAAACCCACAGCTCAAGGGTTCCACCTTAATAAGGGACCTGCTCAGCTTCTTAGAGCAGAGTGGGCAGGTGGCGTGTCAGTTAGTGATCAGCAGGGGATGAATGTGGATGGCAGAGTCATTCTGCAGGTAGAAAACGGTGGCATCTGGATGGGGCACCAGCATGACGAAAGCTACCAAACTGCATGTGCACTTACTGTTCCACACGTGTAATTTACTGTGCAAAGTTTCTGAATGTCTAGTAGCATCGAGTGTAAGAAGTGGCTTCATAATGGCACAGAGAAGTCCTAACCAGACAGTACATCAAGCTTTTGCTTCTCAGGGGTCACCTTCTGACCTGTGCCACACTTACCCAGACAAGAGCCACAAAGCCCCAGACCAATCAGGCTCACACATTGTGTTCTGAGCTTCAGCTGATAAAGCTAAACTTTTTTAAAGCAACAATCCGAACAACTACCTCACAAAGTCACTGCAAAGCCTGTCAGGTTTAGTCGGACTAAATAAATCCAAACACTGTTAGCTCTAAAGTAAAGGAATCAAAATCGTCCAGCTGTCCTGAACATCTACCCCCACCCCAGAGGACACAATCTGACAAGAGGACTGGCTTGGTGGTAGAGCACATAGCCAGCATGCACAAGGGGGAATGCCCAGCGTCATTAAAAATGAAATGTCTTGGGCTGGAGAGATGGCTCAGTGGTTAAGAGCACTGGTGCTCTTCCAAAGGTCCTGAGTTCAATTCCCAGCAACCATGTGGTGGCTCACAACCATCTGTGATGGGATCTGATGCCCTCTTCTGGTGTGTCTGAAGACAGCTACAGTGTATTCATATATATAAAATAAATCTTTTTTAAAAATGAAATGTCTTCATGTTCACTGATAAAAGTGAATAACCAACTTAAACCACAAGGGTGCCCACATTATACGCTGAAATATTTGAAGTAAAAGGGGACCTCCATCCAGAAAGCCACGTCGACCACATAGGAGAGAGGAGGGATAATGACAGTCACCATTTCCACTTCTGCCTGCCAAGACTAGCCACAGAGATAGAGCCCAGCAGATAGCTCAGTGGGCACAGACATTCTGACCACACGATTTGATCCCAGGGACCCACAGGGTGGAGGAGAGAATTAATTTTCAAGTCATCCTTTGACCTCTATGCTCATGCAGTAGCGTGTGTGTAGCACATATGCACTCAAAAACACAATAAAGAATGTAATAAAGACGAACTGGAGAGATGGCTCAGCGGTTAAGAGCACTGATTGCTCTTCCAGAGGTGCTGAGTTCAATTCCCAGCAACCATATGGTGGCTCACAACTATCTGTACTGGGATCTGATGCCCTCTTCTGGTGTGTCTGAAGACAGCTACAGTGTACTCACATACATAAAATAAATAATTATTTTTTAAAAAGAATGTAGCCGGGCAGTGGTGGGGCACACCTTTAATCCCAGCACTTGGGAGGCAGAGGCAGGTGGATTTCTGAGTTCAAGGCCAGCCTGGTCTACAGAGTGAGTTCCAGGACAGCCCGGGCTATACAGAGAAACTCTGTTTAGAAAACCAAAAAAAAAAAAAAAAAAAAAATGTAATAAAGAAGTAAAAGATTGACCACAGGGGCAAATTTGAGTGGTACCAACACAGAAACATGCATTGGGTACATCGGCCCTCAGTGTTTGTAGGCTCTGTATCCTTAGATTCAATAGCCATCAACCAAATATTTAGAAAGACATCCTCTCTCTGTACCAAATGCATACACTTTTCCTTAGTGTTCTTCCCTAGACAGCACAATATGACAATTATTTACATGACATTGACACTGTATTAGAAGGATAAGTCCTCTAAAGATGTTACACAGCATCTGGGCTTTTGAATTAGCCATAGGAAAAGACTACAGGGTCTTGCATGGCTGTGCATCAGATGCTCACCGAGATCCTGAAACCAATGGCCTAGGCAAATGGAGGAAAACCACATACCTAAGGCTGTTAAAAGCCCATGCACATGAAGGATGAGGCAGGCACAGGTCCCCTGAGCAGTTGAGGGTCTCCCCAGTGCTGAAGCCCTACCTCTTAGTGATCTGGCTAGGCTCCTGAAGGTCAGGGTCCAGATCAAAGACCTCGTTGTCCAGCAGCCTCCGGAGTGTGACATCTGCCAGCTGCTCCATGATCTTAAACACCTCGTCCAGGTTCAGAAATGTGGAGAAGTCTCGTTCCTTATTCTGTGTAGTGATCCGGATGGTGTCTGTGAGAAAGACATTGGAGGTTCGCTCCAGCTTCTGGATGTCCACCCAGGGAATCACAAGTTTAACTGTAAGAGAGAAGGGCAAATGGCCATGACTATCAAATGGGAGCAAACCTGAATTAAGTGGCAAACAGTGGTCAAAGCTCTCTCATAGCAAAAGTAGAAATGTCTTTTGAGCCAGGGCAGGGAGACTAGTCTAGGACTGTGTGGTGGCTGCTGGGAACACAGCCTCAGAAGCCATGTGTGAAGCTTCCCAAATTGCTGGCTCCTGCACACCCCCAGGTCCCATACTTATCCAAGGAACACCATTCTGGAAGGCCAAATTAGCTATGCACACACTCTCTCAAGAATACTTACACAGCCATACAATCGTTAATGTCACAAAAATGATCCCTCTCTGAAACAAGTAGCTAAAAACCATTTCTACCATTTCTGTCTGATTACTTTGAAATATTGTCTTCTGGGCTCTGATAATTTTAAAAGGTACCATTTGTGCCATCCTTGACAGGATAGCTGCTTCTGTGCTTTCGCACAAAGTATCTTACACACACACACACACACACACACACTCTTAATGGATTTACACCAGTCCAATTATTAAGTAACTGTCTGTGATGAGTCCAGTGTCATGCTTTGCAATGGTTTGGATATGAAACATATCTTCAAAATTTAACATGTCAGAAGATCTAATGCCAATACTCTTCAAACTATTCCACAAAATAGAAACAGAAGGAACACTACCCAGTTCATTCTATGAAGCCTCAGTTACGATGCATATTCTCCCTTGGAGATGGAATGGTTTCTGTCTAATCAGGAACTTGTCACAATTTCCTTTCATAGAGGACTTCATAAGAGATTTTTTCTACTTCTACCATGTTTAATGTTCCAAATTTTAAAATCCGGTTGAGTGCATATTACTTTCAGCTTCAAAAGATATCATGTATATTTAAGAGGCATTTAACTATTATAAATTATTTTGATGACTTTAAAAATGTCAATACTGAGCTGTATATTTTAAAATAAATTTTATTAGTTTAATTGAAAGAAAGAAAGAAAGAAAGAAAGAAAGAAAGAAAGGAAGGAAGGAAGGAAGGAAGGAAGGAAGGAAGGAAGGAAGGAAGGAAGAGAGAGAGAGGGGAAAAAAAAGTTAACATGTCAGGGGCTTGGTCCATGTTGATGGTGCTATCCAGGGGAGATGGGTCTTTGAGCCATCTTGTCCATGTCCCCTTCCTATCCGCAGTGAAACAGGAAGGTCCCTAACATGTATTGTAACACTCTTAAGTCTGAAGCCTCAAAGACCATAAACCAAATAATTCCCACTCCTTGTTTCTGTCAGGTATTTTGGCCCAGCAAGGAAAAGTCATTCATCTATCCTGTACTGAGGCAGCTCATTCAAATAAGGAAGACAGGCAAACAAGTAAGTAACCAGACTTGATGGGACCTAACACAAAAACATAAACATGTGCAAGCAAATAGCACAGAGGAAAAGCTCCTGGAGGGGACAAGATCAAAATTGGGTTCTGAAGGATCAACAGGTATTTACAGACAGGCTACACAAACAGGCAAGGGAAGGGTATTCAACTCAACAAGAATTTCAGAAAGGAAAAAAGGGGGAGATCAGTGTGCAAGAGAGGGAATGGCCAATGTGCACAGGGTCTTGGAGCATCACAGTGGAGCTGCTGAGCAGAGAAAGCACACCATGTACAGACAGCTCACCAGGCAGTGTTGGCACACACCTTTAATCCCAGCACTTAAGAGGCAGAGGCAGAGGCAGGCAGATTTCTGAGTTCGAGGTCAGCCTGGTCTACAGAGTGAGTTCCAGGACAGCCAGGGCTATACAGAGAAACCCTCTCTCGAAAAACAAAACAACAACACAAAACAGAGCAGCCCCTTGAGCTGGCTTCATTAGAAATACAGGTGCAGAAGAGGAAAAGCATGAGTGTCACATTTGTTGCTTTGCCTGCTATGAAAGCATTCCCTGACAAGACCTGCTGAAGAAAGAGCATGTTTACTTGGATTCACACTTCCCAGGTACAATCCATGGTGGGAGTAAAGACATGGTGGCAGGAGCCTGAGGCAGCTGGTTATTGTATCCACCACAGTCAGGAAGCAGATGGGGACAGATGCTGATGCTCCGCTCCTCCTCCCTCCCTACATCCCTCTCTCCTCCCTCTCCTTTTCTTCTTCTTCTTCTTCTTCTTCTTCTTCTTCTTCTTCTTCTTCTTCTTCTTCTTCTTCTTCTTCTCTCTCTCTCTCTCTCTCTCTCTCTCTCTCACACACACACACACACACACACACACACACACACACACACTCATTCAGGGTGGAGAGACGGCTCAGATGTTATGAACACTAACTGTTCATCCAGAGGACCCAGGTTCAATTCCCTGCTACCCTCTTCTTGCCTCCATGGGCACCAGGCACACATGTATGTACAGAGACATACATTCAAGATAAACACCCATAGACATAGAATAAAAACCTTTGAGAAAAATATATTCTCCTGCAGAACTATTCAGTCACTCGCTAATATACTGTATTTTCAAAGCATCTATACTACTAAAAACCTGGCAGTCTCTACTCGAGTTACCCAGAAATAAATGTTTAAGGGAGTAAAACAAACAGATCCTCCCTAAGTCAAGCCCCCTTGGAGGAGAAACCTATGTAATTAAGCACAATTATCTGTACAAATCATGGGGAAATGGATGGAGCACACTTCAAAAATAGTCCCATTCACAGCTTCTCTCAGAAGTGATGCTAAGCAGGCTCCCACCCCCTGAATGTATCTGTGAATTCAGGACCAGAAGGCTCTTGGCCATACTTACGTTCCTTGCCCAGGAAGAAGGAATAGAAGCAGAGGTGGTTGATACTGAGGTACAGCCAGCCCTGGCGGGGCACCCGGCCCTTCCAGCAGCAGCAAGAATAGTAGGTCACCAGCTTCTCTGCCTCAGGGAAATTGAACCTGGCCTCGAACTTCACCAGGGCTTCTCGGAACTTCTCGGGCTCCTCCTCCTGCTCTGCCAGCCTGCTGCTGGTCTCCTCAGCGATCAGAGCCTGAGGCATAGAAAGGTGTCACTTACCCAGCCAGCCAGACAAAAGTTAGACTGAAGCAGAAAGAGGACAGGAAGTGGGAAGGACAGATGGGCAATAGCAAAAGAGGACAAACTGACCCAAAGGATGTAAGAACCCAACCTTGTTTCCGAACTTACTAATACTTCACAAAACATCTTCCTTGTCAGGTTCAAAAGGTTGATAAAGGGCCATCAAGATGGCTCACCAAGGAAAGGTGCTTGCAGCCAAGTCTGAGGATCTGAGTTTGATCCCTAGTACCACTTCCTGCACCCCTCCCCACACACATACACAATTTGAAAGCTTAGCAAACTGATTTTCAATTTCTTCATCATGTTTTAATTTTATAAATTTCTCTTGACGTTATGAACCATAAGATAATGATTAAGACTTTTTGGGCTGTTACATATGAAACAGATGTCCAGCTTGCCGTTGTCCTGGAAGGCCTTTAGTGAGGCGTGTACAGCTGCGACAGGGGCCAGATGATTTAGTGCCTGTGCATAGATGTCACTAAGGAAGAAACTGGGTGTGGGGTGTGGAAGCAGCCAAACATCCAGACCTGACAGGAAAGCATCCTTCACATTTTGTCAGCAAAAAGTGGGGGGTGGGGAATGAAAATGTCCACTTTAACCCTCAGACTCCTTCATCACCAATCCTGCCTCCTGGGGACTAGACTACCCTGGTTTCTGGTGGTTGTTGCTGTTGTTGTTTTTGACGCATCTCCTGTATCCCAGGCAAACGTCTAACCTACTCTGTAGCCCATGCTAGCCTCTACCTTGGGACTCTCCTGCCTCAGCCTCCCCAGTGCTGAGATTACAGAAGTGCACCTTCACACCTGGCAAAGAGACAGGCTTTTTAAAGTAGTTAATGCTAAAGTCTTGAGAATCTAAATTGTTAGCCCCAAACATGCTGCTTTGGCATAGGGGTTATTTTAAGCTGAAGACTCTGTCCTCTCCATCTACCTAAAGACTGCCAAGGAGCTCCTTGTCCTGTCCCCCCCTGCTCCCCCCCTCACCAGTAGAAAGCTGAGTTCCATGACCAGCAGGGAGGGAGAGAGGAAAGGCCAGTCAGATGTAAAACAAGTGAATTCCCTTTGTTTTATGTAACTTGACAGAAAATGTAGCCAAAGTTTTTTGTTTTTTTGTTTAAAAAAAAAAAAAGTAGCCAAAGTGAGAGTAGAAGCTGTCAGAGACCACTACAGAGCTCAAGGCCTGGGAGAAACAGGAAGGTAGGGAGAAGCCTTAAAGCCCAGCCTACCTTCACCTTCCCTTTGACAAAACTGGCGATATCTTCTTTGTTGTCAAAGACTGACAGGGTATGCAGCAGGTTCTGCTCCAGCCAGTCCCAGTGCCGGTTGATTTCCTCCAGCGTTGCACCTGGATTTGTACAGACAGAAACACATCAGGGAAAAGGAGGAATGTCTAAAACATGAACTCACTTCCCAACCCCTGCCATATACGAGTCTATGTGTATTTTACATTATGAGCATTAGTCTGCAGTAGAATAGGCCCCATTCATTAAAACCAGAGTCTCCTCTGGCCACTGGGCACCTGCAGGCACTGATCCTATGGCCACAAGGCAGCCCAGGTGACTGGGAGGGTCACCCTTCGGTGTGCTGTGGCCATCTTGCCTGCTTTGGCAATGTCCACTGCTTCTCTGCCTCCATTCGGTGACAGAGATGTTGGTAACTGCACAGGTAGCCCAACACAGAACACACCCCAGACAAGTAGACTCACTGCCAACAGGCTCACACAGTGTAGCCTGTGATCTGAAAGGCCAAGTTCTCAGTGGGAGAGCCTGTTGTGAAGTCCTGTTGACCATACAAGAATGTCACCACTTGGGAGCAGCAGGGCTTGACCTAGTCAGGGCAGCCTCAGAAATCAGCAATCTACAAATGGATATTCTGTGCCATTTACAGCAATAGCCCTCAAAGACCTACAGAGAGAGTTCTTACAGTGCATGTTATCTTAGTAAAGCACACACAAAAAAGAATTACATCAGGCAATCTATCAGTTAATTTCTTTAAAAGGCAATTGAAATTCTCACTATACTTCCAAAGTGTTAAGCACCACTGTTAACAAAGGCATAGTCATGTCCACTATGCCACTATCTCCGCTGTTTCTTCTAAGGAGCCTTCTATTCATTTGCACTGGATGATGGGCACCAGACATGGGGACTGTGTCTCAACTCTAGTGAGAGCAGATGCCCCTCCCGCACACAGGTATAGAAAAGTTTTTCAGTCACACTTCCAAAATGGGACAAGACTAAACCCAGAGAAATTAAAACTACTGACCCATAGTTCAGAGTCACCTAGAACAAGTTGGATGCTGGGAGGGTCACCAGAGTTACTATTCACCCCAAAGCAGGTGTGTTTTGCTTAAAAGTGTGTTTCCTTTCTCTCTGTGTTACTTGCACACCCTGAGTGTAAATGCACACGAAAACCTTGGAAATATACATTACTGTCCCTCCTCTGAAACCTCTAATCTGAAAGGCCCAAGTCTGAATAGTAGCGTGCTGTCATAGTGTAAAATCCCACACCTGCCTGATGCCTGATGGCTTGGAATCTACAGACTTTCTTCACGCACGAGTTTTAAAATACAGCGTTAAAAGGATGCAGAGAAGAAGGTGAGAGAAGGTAAGTGGGCTGCATGCATAGACGGAGGCTCCCATTCCGACAACACTGTATCTATACAAGTATTACATCAGCCAAAAGAATCCAACACACTCCTATGGCATGCAATAAAGTAGCAGAGGGCTCAGCCTGGACTTGTGGTTCAGGCCCATGGAAATAAAGACTGTGTGTTAAATTAGGCTGTTGTTCTGCATGGACAGTCAGGGGAGGAACAGGACAGTACCTAAGAGACTGTTTCATTAAGGAAAATGGGGAGCTAGGTTACACAAAGTTCCCAATTCCTCGGTATTACCCAGACAAGCATACTGTGTCCTCACTGACTCTGCCATCCTCCACAGCATGGGGAGGGAGTCAGCCACGTGGCTTTCTACCCAGTGCCTCCATTCACAGGCTAGCCATTGCTTCCTGCACCTAAGCTCACGACCCATGGCCTTTGCTTCCCTCCAGTTGCACCTCCTGGATGGCCCGTTGGGTCTTAGCAGGAGTTAGTCCTGGAGTGAGAGGCTCTTCCTGCACATCTCTCAGGACAAGGAAAGTTCATTTTAAAACAAAATCAAGCCACTCAAGGCCAGCCTCCACAGGTCCATCTGTCTCCGTGTCTGCTTTCTCTCTGTCTTCTGACCTGAACTCAAGTCACTGAGCATCTCTGTGGCCCTCAGCTGGCTGTGGCACACCATGGGCTGACAGGACACCATTGGGTGGCTTTCCTGCCTCTTACCTGCTCACTCTTTCCATTCAGCACCTCTCAGTGATCACGTATGTCATGGTAACACAGACAGCCTCAGTGCCTGGAGATCACTTTACAAAGCCAGTTCTACCACACCCTGTGAGCTGAGTGAACACAAAACTGGAGACGGCAGGCCTTTATTTACCATCAAAATAAAACCAACCAGGTCACTAAGCAAAAGGAGGCTAGACGAAAGAGGACCAGTGTGTCTGTTAGCTTTCAGTGCTCGGTTACGGTTCTTCAGATATACTTCCTCATTCGTAAAAACAAAACAGAGAACAGGGAAGAGGGAAAGAGAGGGAGGGAAGGAGGGAGGGGAGGGAGGGAGGCGGGGCGGGGGGGAGGGAGGGAACAGACACACAGGGCCTCTGGCGGCGAGCCGCCGGGGG